ACCACGTTGATTTATTAGCTTCCTTTCGCGGCAACCTGTAATTAGTATAGCTCAGTGTTTGTCTGTCTGTTACCATTTGGGAGTTATTTAGAAGTAGTACCGTAGTAGTGGTAGTAGTGGTGGTAGTAGTGGTGGTAGTGGTGGTAGTAGTGGTGGTAGTAGCAGTAGTATGTGTGTATGGTGTTGTATTGATGAGATAAATTATTGAAGCTAAAAAAAAATAGTGGTAGTAGTAGTAGTGGTAGTAGTGGTAGTAGTAGTAGTGGTAGTAGTAGTAGTAGTAGTAGTATTTAGGCCATAGCTTGGTGAGGAATGTTCTTATCTTGGCCAAAGTTTAATATGGAGGTGGCTTGAGGGGTACGGTTAGGGTACGTTGGGTTGATTTGGTTTAGTTTAGGTTGAGTTAAGTTCGGTTGAGCTACGTTAGCTTAAGTTAGGTTGTGTTAGGTTATATTATGTCAGGATAAGTTAGGTTAAGTTAGGTCAGGTTAGGTTAGATTAGATTAAGTTGAGTTAGGTTAAGTTACGTCAGGTTAGGTTAGATTAGATTAAGTTGAGTTAGGTTAGGTTAGGTTGTCTCTGGTTGCTCTCAGGTTGAAATATATCTTTACTTTATAAATTACCCTTTGTTTCTTCCCTTCCTTCATCACTTTTATCTCTTATTTCCCCCTTTATCAGAGGTTTCTTTACCCCTTATTCCACCCCACACAAGAATGAAAGAAGAATAGAGATAATGTAAAAAAAAATACACAAATTAATCAACACTTAATTTGCAATCATTTAAACGTGGGGAGTTATTTTCACTGAGTTGTTTACCACTATGAGTTATTGCAGGTATTGAATGGCTTGCAATATGTAAATAAAACAAAAATCAACACCGGTATTGTTCATGTTGCCAGGCAGTTCGTTAGTTGTGTTTAGGGGGCTGGGGGAGGGGTGTTTAGGGGGCTGGGGGGGGTGTTTAGGGGGCTGGGGGAGGGAGTTTGGGTTAACAATGGGATAAAAAGGTGAAATGAGGCAATAGCTTAAAAGTTGTTTGACGTGGGGGTTAGCTGTGTGTCCCCCCCTCCCCCCAACCTCCCCCTCCTTCACACCCCCTCCTCCTCCTCTTCTCTCAAACCCCTCTCTCCCCTTCCCCTCTCCCCCCCTCGTTTCCTCCCCGCAAAAAGATGTTTCCATATTAAATTGTTGGTTAGTCGTTTACATAATTAAGTGTACAGGCCAGGTGTGTGTGTGTGGATGGTGATTTACAGGTGAGGTGTTTTTTATATTCATTTACAAGTTAGGTATTTACGTATTAATTTACAAGTCATGTATTCCAGGTATTTACTTATTAATTTACAGGCCAGGTGTGTGTGTGTACATTAATTCACAAGTCACTTCTTTAAATTCATATAAATAAAGGGAAATATTATTGGAACTAGTCGTAATGTTCTGAGATCATATGAATGTGTTGTTGTTCGTTGGTGTAATTTTTAAGTTTTAAAAAAAAATCCGACGTCTTGTAACTTTTATTTTTATATTATTTATGAAGAAAATTTACTTTATTATTATTTTGTTCAGTGAAAGATAATTGATAAAAGATAATTACACTTCCTTTAGTTATATAATTCGATATGAACGATTATATTACTTATTTATCAACGATAATTTATATTTCTTGTTCATATTTTAATGACAAAATTTAGTACAAAAGTCGGCTATTTTGTGTCTCCTGATCTCGAAACAAAAGCCCTATTTTATCATCATATTACTCCCAACCTGTAAAACAAAAGTCGATTATTTAGCGTTTATGTAAGGTGGGTGGAATAACGAGAACTGCTATTAACTCCGGGTTGTGAACTAGGCAGCCACCCTTGTTAGCGAGCCTGTCCAACACCCGTGTATTTGAACAAGGAAAATTTATACTATAACTTGTGTTTAGTGTATAATAGCACTGGTGTGTGAGCGTACCGTTGTAGTGTATACCAATGTATATTTATCATTGTACCGCATGTATACGTTTCGTTGTTCCGTGTATACTATTGTATCGTGTATATATACATGTATCATTGTATCGTGTATATATGTATCATTGTACCGCGTATACATGTATCATTGTATCGTATATATATGTATCATTGTATCGTGTATATATGTATCATTGTACCGCGTATACATGTATCATTGTATCGTGTATATATGTATCGTTGTACCGCCTATACATGTATCGTTGTACCGCGTATACATGTATCGTTGTACGTCGTATACATGTGTCATTGTTCCGCGTATACATGTATCCATCGGAGGGTATACAGCAGGCAGTCTTGACAGGCAATTAAGCTTAAGCTGGGAGTGTAATAAGTCCAATTTTATGCAGTAGTTTACAGCTATTGAACAGTGGAGTAAAATCCTCTCGTGAATAGCCATGAAAAGGCTCGATAGTGGAGGTTAACAGCGATACCTAACAACCTTGTGGCCATTTAGTGAGGTAGTAATGATCTCTTGTAACCAGACATACGATTCAAAAGGCTTGTGGCGTGGTGGGTATAAGGTGGGTTAATAGGTCGTGGCCATTGTTAACAAGTCCATCGTGGCCATTTGACTGGGGGTGTATTGTGGCCATTTATCGGGGAGATTATTGTGGCCATTTATCGGGGAAATTATTGTGGCCATTTATCGGGGAGATTATTGTGGCCATTTAAATGGGATTTTATTGTGGCCATTTAAAGGGGATTTTATTGTGGCCATTTAAAGGGGATTTTATTGTGGCCATTTAAAGGGGATTTTATTGTGGCCATTTAAAGGGGATTTTATTGTGGCCATCTAAAGAAGAGTTTATTGTGGCCATTTAACAGTCAGTTCACTATCGTCTTGTAACTAAAAATACGCGAAAATTCTCTCCACATCTGACCATTCACTTAAGCGTATGATGAACACGGTGAACACAGAGGCCTCATAACGCACCTGGCAGACTCAACACGACGGGAGGGAACAGGTGAACATAGGCAACTTAATGAACATACACAACTGGTGAACATACATAACTTGGTGAACATACGTAAGTTTATGAACACACGCAACTTGGTGAACATACATAACTTGGTGAACATACGCAAGTTAATGAACATACACAATTGGTGAACATACATAACTTGGTGAACATACGCAAGTTAATGAACATACGCAACTTGGTGAACATACTCAACTTGGTGAACACACTCAACTTGGTGAACATACGCAAGTTAATGAACCAGAAGTATATACCGCAGGTGGTTTAGTAATTTAAAACTCAACAAAGCATTACAGGAGTTTGGTTGTAGGTAGGTTAATGCAGCCATTGTTTCATGTTGGGGGTAATATTGTGACTTGAAGCTTAACCCGGAGATATAAACACTGCATATATACAGGTTAATGAAGGCTATAATGTCTGTAATGAATATGTTACTTCAGTATAATGTTTATTTATGTTTTACTATATCATTATACATACAGGTAGGTTAGTGAAGCCAACATTATAAGTGTTATGTAATCAATATGTTTCAAATTAAAAGTAGAAGGTAATGTTGGAATCCTGTATACAGAATATGCAATTGCAGTACTGTATCTCTGTTGCAACATTGTTTGTAGAGCTGTGGTGTGAGAGTATACACAAGTTAATCATCCATGAGTGATTATACAACAACAGACAGTACTGGATTATACAACAACAGACAGTACTGGATTATACA